GCAGAGGTTCTCACGACAATCCTGTAAGGCATGGCTATTATTATAACCCCGTCTCACAGATGAGTAAACAACTCAGAAACAAAGTTGGAGGAGTTTCCACTCACATTGGATTCTATGAGGGTGGGTGCCCTGAAGCATGATTCCTGCAACACAAATGGTACCCCTGGTGCCACAGTTGCGCAACTCTGTAGCCCTGGGAAGATTCAGTGAGCAGAGCCCAAACCTGCTTAACTTTCTGTATCTTTTTATCACCTCTCTCACACTGGCAGAGGGATATCAGGAAAGAATATGATAAACTCATCTTGTCAATCATAAGATCTTTCTGGAATTTTCTTTCTGTGTATCCTCCTTTTTAAATTTTTGTTCTTTTGTTTGTTTTGTTTCTTTTTCATTCTCCATACAACCCTAAGTGGTAGATTAAAATTAGTAGCTGGGAACAACATCAGAATTTAACAATATATGAATAATAATAAACTGGAAGAGCAACGTGAGCCTGTCCCTTTTCTTTTTGTCTTCTCCACTTGCACTCCTCAGTTCATCCCATAGTAGCAGCATGAGGCAGTCTTCTGGACCCCTCCATCTCAATAGGCATCTTCAAGGTAACCCTAAGGTCCCCCTTACTCTTGCTTTCTTACGGCTTGGGATCAGGTAAGCAGATACCCAACTGACCACATAACCAGAATCCACATTACTTTATGGTAGAGATGGGGGTGGAAAGATGAAGAGATCAGTGGGCATCTGATTATGCATACAGAAGAGCATAACATCCTAATAAGGAATCAACCCAAATGTCCACAAACAGATGAATGGATTGAAAAAGTGTGGCACGTATTAATACTACTCAGTCATAAAAAACAATGAGGCCCTGACATCTGATACAAAGTGGACAAATTGGAAGATTTACCACTAAGTAAAGCAAGCCAGACTATGAAAGAGAGGCATTGCATGTCCCTCCTTGATATATTCTGAATGTCAGCACTCAATGGCAAAAGATGAAAGAGTAGAAGGTATAAAAGCATGGAGAGCAATGGTGATACTAGAGACAGTGTGGGGGGAGTGGAAAATGGGGGAGGTCGAAGAGGAGGGAATCAAGGGGAAAAAGAAAGAAGCAACCATTTAAGGGGCACAAAAATGGAAAATTATTTGTTGATGATAATATACATGGTAATATCTTTGAACCAATATACGATGTATTCATGACGAGAAAATTCATTTGGTATGCTGTAATGATACACAGTGATTGAATGTAAAAAATAAAGAAGTAGGGACCAGCAGTTAGCGTAATGGCTATGTCGCTGGACTCCCACGTAGTCGACCGCGGTTCACGTCCTGGACCCGGTGGCTTAAAACTCACGCCGGGCGCGTATGCGTGCGTGCCCAAGATCCTGAGAGGAGAATGGAGGAGAAGGGATTGCAGCATGGCCATCCCCCCTGGGGGGTGATTTCTCGCTTTCTGTCTCTATGTCTCTCTCTGTCTGTCTGGCGAGCACACATGTCCTATAGCGAAAACCTCTCCAAAAAATAAAGAAATAAAGAAGTAAATAAAAAACATGGGACAGCCTTAAAAAAAAAAAAAAACACAAACATTCCTCCAAAGCCTGCCTGTATATGGAACATAATCAATTACCATGGACAGGGAGGGGGAAGGGTATGCTCACGTTCCCCCACTACTTGCATAATGCTTGAAAGAGGCAGAAACAAGCGGATGTCCTCACTGGATACCTTAATTGGAGGGGAGGAATTTGCTCTGGGTAACTGCACTGCAGTGTCTTTCCAGGTGTTACACACTTGCAGGCTTTTGCTTGGACTGCCCTCCTTGCTAGGAATGTCTTATCCCTGTTCTTTCTCTCTTTTTTTTTTTTTTGAGAGGTTTTTCACTATAGGACGCGTGTGCTCGCCAGACAGACAGAGACAGAGAGACAGAAAGCAGGAAATCACCCCCCAGAGGGGATGGCCACGCCATAATCCCTTCTCCTCCGTTCTCCTCTCGGGATCTTGGGCACGCACGCACACGCACCTGGTGTGAGTTTTAAGCTACTGGGTCTGGGACGTGAACTGCGGTCGACTACATGGGAGTCCAGTGACATAGCCATTACACTACCTGCTGGTTCCCTTATCCCTGTTCTTTTCACTTAACACTTTGACCCTTAAGAATCTTTTTTTTTTTTTTTTTTTTGAGAGGTTTTTCACTATAGGGCGCGTGCACTCGCCAGACAGACAGAGACAGAGAGACAGAAAGCAGGAAATCACCCCCCAGAGGGGATGACCATGCTGCAATCCCTTCTCCTCCGTTCTCCTCTCGGGATCTTGGGCACGCACGCACACGCACCTGGTGTGAGTTTTAAGCTACTGGGTCTGGGACGTGAACTGCGGTCGACTACATGGGAGTCCAGTGACATAGCCATTATGCTAACTGTTGGTCCCAGGAATCTTCTGCATTAGGACAACTCTGTTCCACATGATACTGGTTCCCAACATGTTCTTCCTTTGAACTTCCACAGCAACCTGCATTTCTCCATGCCATCACCTGTGCTGTTACAGTACTACTCTACTTAAGTCTTAGTCTTCTCTAACAGATTGCAGGTTTTTTTATCTTTATAGTGATCAGCAAATACTTATTGAATTCATGAGTCAAAGGGAGGCTTAGAGATACAAATAAGTTGAAAACTAAACTTATGAAAACTCACTCCAGTATCCAGTATTATGAATTTTCATTTTCTTTTTCTTTTTTTTTGGAGAGGTTTTTGCTATAGGGTGTGTGCACTCAACAGAAAGACAGAGACAGAAAGTAAGAAATCACCCCCCAGGGGGGATGGCCACACCACAATCCTTTCTCCTCCATTCTCCTCTCAGGATCTGGGCATGCACAGGTGCCCGGCATGAGTTTAAGCCACCGGGTCCGGGACTTAAACTGCAGTCGACTACATGGGAGTCCAGCAACATAGCCATTACGCTAACTGCTGGTCCCCAGTATTATGACTTTCCATCTCCAAGCATTTGAATTCTCCATTCACTGTTTCTGGCTACGCAGGACCAGTAGCTTAAAAACTGGGACCAGGCTGGGAAATTGTTAGAGATTCTTTTTAATGATATGATAATAATTGCATATATTGAGTGATTATTATGCCCCAGGTTCTAAGCACCTTGCATATATTAATCATTTAATCATCTCGACATTTCTACAGGGTAATCACTTCTGCTTTATAGATGAGGAAACTAAGACAGAAGTGAAGTGGCATGCCAAGGTCACACATAAGTGCCAGATCTGGATCTGGAATCCACATTCTCGATGTTGTTGCCTCTCAATAAGAAAGACAGAGAGGGACAAGCTAACTCTGAGTTTGAAAGGTGGCCCCAAGTCACAGAAAGAAATACATATTCCTCTTTATTTCTATATCTGCCATCATATGATTTAATTATACTCACCTTGTTCACCACACACACACACACACACACACACACACTCTTCTTTTATAGCATGTATTTTCATCCTTTTCTGAATGAACAACTTCTATTGTGAGTGGGCTGAACTGTATTGCACAATTCTAGCAATTATGTAGTCTTGAAGAAATTCAGAGTAGCTAGGTCTGTAAATGAGATGATGCATATATTCATGCAGCTTGGAAGGAACAGAGCAAAAACATTGTTTTTCTTTTCCAGATAAATCTCTAAAGGGAATGAAGATTTTCTTTCTTTGCTTAGTAAGACAAGTAAGATATTTTAGTGGAAACTTTTCTATAATCCTGGGAAACAGAGTAGTCTTAAGATGAACAACTTTGTTGGAGCCACGGAGTGACTCTATTGTGATCTTAGTCCATTCAGGCTAAGATAACAACAAATGCCATCAACTTGTAGCTTATAAGCAATAGATCCTTATTTCTCACAGTTCTGGAGATAGGATGCCTGAATTCAAGGCTCCAGCAGACTAGGTATCTGATGAAGGCCACCTTCTTGGTTCGTAGAAGGCATCTCCTTACTGAAGCTCTCATTAGGTTAAAAGCAACGGAGTTCTCTAGGGCCTCTTTCATAAGGGCACTAATCCCATTCATGAGTGCAGCTCATGATCTAATTACTTTTCCAAGGGTGCTCCTCCTACTATCAATGCATTGGTAATTAAATTTTCAACATATAATTTGAGGGGACACAAACATTCAGACCATAGCAGAGCTCACTTACATGGTAAGGACAAAGTGAGAAGGAGAAACTTAGCAAGAAAACTTTAAAGGCTCGGTAGTGGTGGCACCACTGTGTGATACTGGAGCCACGTGAAAGGCCTGGGTTCCAATCCTGGGTTAACCTAAACATGTGTGGTGCATCCACCTGTGTCCATGATCCCACTGGCTGAAGCCTTGAGGGAGGATTGCAGCACATTAAGACCCTGCCAAGAGTATCTCTCCATCGCTATCTCAATAAATAAATAAAAATTTTTAAATGTTTTGAAATTTAGTTATATTCTATTGAGAAGTCATAATAATAAGTACCGAGAAGAATCTATGAACACTGGTAGCTAAAAGATATGCACAGGCTTCCTCAGGAAGAACGAATGAAGACCAGTTTTGTAGGGCTTGAAAACTGACTGACCACACATATTTTTAAGGATTCCCATAGGGATTTTTCATCTTTTTACATAACTTCACTATTTCCATACCTACTGTCATGAAAAAGGGTTATATTTTTGGTTATATTTGTGGTTATCAGAGTAAGGATTTAAACTGAAATATCTATATGCTTTTCATTCAAGGGACAGAGAATTCTGGAACAGATTTTATTACAGAAAAAAGGAAGAAAAAATGTTTCTAGATGTCCTTACGAATAAGAGATGCAGTTTATAATTCAGTTAGGAGTTCAGTTAGGAAGCGAAGTGATTGACTAGAATTTTAATAAGTTATATCCATTCTGTGAAAAGATTAGTCATTGAACCTTCTAATCTAATTGTGACAAAAACGAAGCAAGAGTCAGAAAAAGGAGTGCCAAAAAACAGACCTTTTTAAAAACTACTATTTTACTTGTCAGGATGAAAAAACAATGTAGATAACAACTTACAACTTTAAGTAGGAAAAACACCACAATGGGATTTGAGTGAAAATTTTTCCCCTCCTATCACTTCTGTCTCTGGCAAGAGCTGAAATTCAGAATGCATTTAATAATCCTCCTTTCTTTTCACTTTTCATAAGGGCAGATGGTATGTGTGCACAAAATGAGAGCTTTACTCTGGCCCTACACTTCATATCTAAATTACAAAGTAAAATAATGAGGTAAAGGATATTTATTGACACTGAACGAAACATACACAAATATTTCTCAAGAATAAAATGAAAACATTTCCTGGTTTCTTTTCTCACCCAGAGACCCATATTACTCCGAAGGCAGGATATGCCAGCTTTCCTTTGTGGAAAAGCGTATCCAGGCAGCAAGCTTCATGAGAGCCAGACGTTTGTCCTTGAAGAATGCAGGGAAGAGGTCCTCCAGTGAGTGGTAATTGCTAGTGCTGCAGCTGCCAGTCAGGACGGCCCCTCATAGCAGGCCGGCTCTAATGGAGCTCCATTGTTTATATCAAAAACTGATTTGCTGGGAGTGCTGGGCCTCTAGGCTGTGTTGAAAGATTGTGCTGAACTGTGGCTTGAATCTCACCAGCTTTATGACCAGGTAAATGTGTCAGCCAAACGCAGCTCAGGTCCTAAGCATGCCAGGACTGTGGCCCTGACAGTGTCTGCTCAGGCACAACAGGGACACAGGGAGCACATGCTGGTTAAACGGCAACTTTGCTGTCCCAAAGAGAAGCACATAAAAACTAGCCCGTAAAAGGCCTTTCCATCTCCTGCCTTCTTGGGCCCGAAGGCCACTCTCAGAAAGTGACTGCTATGACAGTGAAAGTTCACTCCTATGAATATCAGTCCTTAAATCCAAGTTGCTTCATCTAGATCTTACAAGGCATCTCAAAATCCAGATGATCCAGTAAAGAATGCAATACGGGAATTTTACTCCAGAGTCAAAACAACTTTTAAAATACTTCTGCTTATTCAAGTTAGTTTCTTCTCCAGAAATCTGAAATTAGGTGTAATAAAGATTATACAAACAGAAAAATTATGCTTTCAATAATTTAATTAGACACATCCTCCTCAAAATGAACTTGCATGAAATATTAAATATTATTCTTAAAGCAATTTGGACATAGAAAATCACACAACAGACAAGGAATGGGGGGGAAGAGTGTCTCCCCAAAGTGCCAGTGTTTCATTTCGCTTAGAAAAATAACAACAACACGGTTAGAGGTAAACAATATTTTCTTCAGCTCCATCTCCAGTTTCGCCATCATGTGTGGTCACTGTCTGTAGATCTGAGTTGCAGGAAGTTGGAGACGCAGTCTGGGAAGCATCCAAATCTGCAACCAACACACAGCAGAGGTTATAAGAGCATCAGCCTGGCACCCACAGGGCAGCTGGCACTAAGAGAGTCAGAGCTCTCTTTTTTTTTTTATTAGAGAAGGTGTTTTGTTTTGTTTTGTTTTTGTTTTTTGTTTCTTGTGGGATTTTTGTTTGTTTGTTTTTGCTGTAGAGCTCATGCACTTGCCAGAGAGAGAGAGAGAGAAACATAAAGCAAGAAATGATCCCCTAAGAGGGATGGTCACGCCACAATCCCTTCTCTCCATTCTCCTCTTGGGATTTTGGGCATGCACACATACGCACCCAGAGTGAGTTTCAAGCCTCTGAGTCAAAGACTTGATCCATGATTGACTGCATGGGATTCCAGCAACATAACCATTATGCCATCTGCTGGTCCCTTCAAGACTCAGAGCTTTCTAACATTAGGAAATAAGGGTCCATACCATCAGCCACAGAATGGCCACATCTGGAGAGAAAGATACCTAAAGATCTTATTGGTATCATTAAGATGTTGATTGTGTATACAAATGTCTCTCATGGCTAAAAATTCCCTTTACAAAATACTCCTAGGGAATGGTCAAATGATTAAAGACTATTACCATTCATTGGAATGCTGCCATTCCACTTACTATTGAAAAAGGGTGCTTTTTTGTTTTTGTTTTAAGGTACACGCCTTTAAAAAGTTGACACAGAAGTATATGCTGCTGGGAACCAGCAGTTAGCATAATGGCTATGTCGCTGGACTCCCACGTAGTTGACTGCGGTTTGCGTCCCAGACCCGGTGGCTTAAAACTCACGCCGGGCACGTGTGCGTGCGTGCCCAAGATCCTGAGAGGAGAATGGAGGAGAAGGGATTGCGGTGTGGCCATCCCCCCTGGGGGGGGTGATTTCTCGCTTTCTGTCTCTATGTCTCTCTCTGTCTGGCTAGCACACGCGCCCTATAGTGAAAACCTCTCAAA